GTTTCCTCATTTCCAGTCATTATGCTAAGCTACGCTAAACAGCAGCTAGCTGTAGCTTCACTGTTATATTTACCAAAAAGATATGAGGGTGATATTGATCTTCTCATCTGACTCTGAGCAAGAAACTGATCATATTTCAGCATCTGCTCAGCCGATAAGACGATGTGCTAACATCTCATTTGAAAAGTATAGGTTGCCATTACATTCATCTGGCCAACACTACATGGTCATGAACGCAAATCCCATTCATTTAGCTTTAGTTTTTGATGTCTTGCACAGTGGTACAATGACTATAAAGTATTCTTGAATCTTGAATCTTTTGTACATCTAAATGGACTCTTGATATATATTATCTAACATACATTTACCCGAAAGAAATTGTACACAGCCAGTATTTTACAAAGATTCAGATGGCTTATTTTAGGTACACAGTGCAACCACTAATGTACTGTACAAACAAGACTGGAACCCAAACAGCTAATATTTATATCTGCTACTGAAATATCCTGAGTCAGTACCTTGGACAGGTCGAATTACAAGATTGCTTTAAAAGTTGAATAACGACACAAGTGCAAAAAACAGCATGCTTATTTTTCCTTCACTGCATTTCACTAATCCCCCTCAATAAGGCAACAGTGTCATCTGCATAGTCATACAATAAGCATCTAAAAAGGTACATAATAGAAAAATGTCACAAGGTGAAATCAATGCAGAGTACACCAGGAAAATATCTAACGCCGGTATCCATTTGCCCACTTCTCACACAACCCCCAGTGTATTCACCAGCACGAGGCAATGGTTTCAAGAGAATTACTTCAGATCACATCTGAAAGAAAATGGAGACAAATTCAAAACTCACAACATAATTGATTAAAACTACATTTCAATTTTAAAACATGCATATCAACAACTTACATGTTGTTCCAGCTTCTGGTATTCTGTGGATTTAGGTCGGCGCGAGGATCTGGATTTCTTTCCTTCCAAAACAAAGGCAATTATCTGAGGAAAAAAGGGAAAGATATATTAACATTTTCAACTGACAAAGCCTGTAGTATGACGCCTGATCTACAAAACTAAGAGGACCATGCTAGCAACTTTAGGACATCACAGAGGATTCATCTTTCTATGTGTGCTTCAGTATGTGCCACACAACACTGGACAACACGGTTAAACTGCTTTAACTCATTTAATAACTTTAATAACTGGACCTTTATGGAAAATAATGTGTCTTCCTGCCCAAGATTAATTTGAGACCATTTATACCACTCTCATACTGGTACAGTAAAAAGAAAACCTGACTAAATATAAAACAAAGGTCTAGCTGAGTAATATCTGGGTTTCTATAAAATTCCATTAACATCTTTATTTGGTGCAACAAGAATGCACAGACTACATCTGCAACTCAAATGTGGGTCAGCGGAAACCCCAAGAATGCTTTCACAGACGTCTCAGTGAAACCTAAAGACCACGTACCTTGCGCTTGTTGTGGTAAGTGATGTAGAGCACTGCCACCAGCACAGCTGTAGAGACAAGGTAGGCAAAGAAATGACTGCTCTCCACCTCATCTTTTATACCAGCTGAGTCATACTGGTTTCTCTCTCCTGTTGCTCCATGTCCTTCTGGCTGTCTCTCAATGGTGTCCTCTCCCTCTGGCTGTGCGTCAATGGTGTCCTCTCCTTCTTCCTCTCCGTCAGTTATGTCCTCTCCTGGCTCCTTTTTGTCCTTGCTGGCCTTCTGGCTTTCCGTCAGCGGTGCCGTCTCCTGGCTCCTTCTTTTTGTCCTTCTCTCCTTCTGGCTTTCCGTCAGTGGTGTCCTCTCCTGGCTCCTTCTTTTTGTCCTTCTCTCCTTCTGGCTTTCCGTCAGCGGTGTCCTCTCCTGGCTCC